TACTACTACTACTACTACTACTACTGCTACTACTACTACTACTACTACTACTACTACTTCTATTACTTCTACTACTACTACTACTATTACTACTACTACTACTACTACTACTACTACTAGTACTACTAGTACTGCGACGACGACGACTACTACTACCACCACTCCTTCTGCTGCCGCTAGGACCCTGTTTCAGTTTCTCTGATCACCCTCTATGGCAGAAGACTGCTGCTTCGTCCATTCCTTGCACATTTGCCATCTTCCTGGTTTTTCAACGAAGTCGCATTTGTTGATTGATTTCCCACTTCATGCTGCCAGTGCTTTGTCAATTCGGGTTGCTTTTTCTATTCAATCACTTGCTTGTGTTTTGACGATTGTTGTTGTGGTTGCGGTTGCAGCAATGAGGTTCGAGAAGGGCTCTCTGGATAGCTGAAAGAGCTTTCTGATTGCTTGTGCCTACACCGCCGAGCATCTGAGTCTACATTAAAGTCTTCAGTTTTCACGTGCCGGAGAAGCTTCGTGAATTCGCAAGGGCACGAGGTCCTTCATTTGACAGCCCCTTGCCGACTGTGAGTTTGTCCTGGTCTGAGGCCTTGACTCAATCGAGACTAGTTACATTCATTTTACACACGGCGCTGCTGCCGTCGGTCTGAAAGTCACACAGGAGGCAAGGAGGGTTACAGTTAGAGCTAATGTCACATAGCTGTGGCCGCTCTAAACCAAACACTTGGCACCATTTTCTTTAGAGGTTGCCATTTTTGCGTAGTGATTTTGCTGTTTTGAGGTGCTGCGCGGATAGGGAAGAGTGTTGAACAAAGTATATATATATATATATACACACAGATGTGTAGTTACACACACTTACGTGTGCAATATATATATATATATAGAATGTTGGAAACCGCCATTGCAGCTTCAACTGGAGGTGACCTCTGGAAAGCTGCAGAGCATAGGAGCCACGCTTGGTAGCTCCCAGCTCTCTTGAAGTAGCCCAAACCCCCCAGGTACCTACTATATAGGGCCTTAGGGGCTCTAGTACCCTATATAGTAGGTAATTGGGGGGTTAGGGTAGGACAGGCATTTGGGAACTTCCTGCTCCCTCAGTGCCAGCGGGACTGCAGCCCATTAGAGGGGTGGCAAAAAAATCGCTCTGTCATTGTCTTGCGTGGTGTTCTGCTGTCAGAACTGCTGGCGAGCAGCTAGGGTCTTGGGTACTCTCTCGCGACAGATCCTTGACTTCCAAATCGATGACATCGTGCGGCCGCGCGACTACCTCGGCACCGAGGGAAGGCCCGGTGAGCGGATTTGTCGCTGGAACCTCTGAGTGTAGCAGCGCAGGGCTTATCTTCAACTTTAAAGCGCTAAGCCCAGCTCTTTGCAAGGAGCCGCACTGCGTTAGAATTGCTACACCTGTGCCCTCGGTCAAGCGCCCTTCTTCCAGCATCTTTGGGACCCTTTGGGGCTGGAGGAGAAGACCGGTGAATCTTTCGGAAGATGGGGCCAGAGACTCTCTTGCTCCGTTTGGGTTGGCATCACGGGCGCGCTTCCGGGTTTGTTGCGAACTGGCGACATAGACACGATCCTCAGATTCCTGGCTTCTTGGAGCCCCCAAGCAGCCAGGATGCAGACTAAATTGCATACTGAATATTGTTGTGCCTGCTTGGTCGAATCGAAGGCTGCGCCGCACCCGCGCGGCAGTTGAGGCCTCGTCCTGGTAAGTCGGTTGGAAAGTGCAGGCTTTGCTTATTCGGGGCCTGCTGTGAAGCTTCGGTCCCCAATCATTCCTTGAGATCACATCATGTGCCTACACGGGGCACGGTCGACTACCAGTCTTCAAAACGAGTTCCTGCTTGAAATGGAGAAACATCCATCAGGGCTGTTTCTGCAGCCATCATTGCATCCCTATGACCCAAAGCAACCAGGACCCTTGACCCGACCGTGCTAGTCATGGCTGAGAAGGGCGTAGAAGATCCTCACTGAATCATTCATCACAGGGCCCCTAAATGACTAGGGCCCATTGTTTGCGGCGTCGGATCGGCTTATGGCCTCGATCGACTGGATCCCGAATTTTTGTCG